TATATATATAAACGCTCTAAACTAAATTGGTGATGACATGCCAGGTGCATCGCTCCATCTAAGTTCAGCGACAGGCCATTTTAATGCAGAGGATTGGATGGGTTCTAGACTATTATTATTTTTGTATTCGTATTAAAATAATATCGAATGGCCGAGGTAGGCGAAGAAGAAATTTGTAGACCTTTCTCTGAAAGAAAAACTAACAGGACTATATAGTGAACTGTCTTTGAAGTAGTCTTACACATGGAATGTGATGAGTAATTTTCAATAAGGACGCAGAGAGGAAGACGACGATCAGAATGGATCGATAACATCCGAAGATGGAGAGATGGGACTGTATATGCGAGGAAGATGGCTATCATTTGAAACGCCCACGGCTCCACGAGGGCCAAAAGCAAAATAACAGGACTGAATTTTCAATAAGAACAATACACTTGAATGAATGTAAATTAAAAATGAAACAAGCGAAACTAATTTTGGAATACATCTGAAAGAATTGATTTAGGAAGTATATAGAGCTAGCTAACCACGAATGAACAGTATAATCCTTGGGTTAACCATGTTCTGTCCTCGGCTTTTTCCGTGTTAGTATCCTGTCATGTGTAGATGCAATGTGATACATTTTATAAATTCTGGCACGGGAATGGATATAAAATGTATCCATACTTCACAGTATCCATCAACATTGTTTAAGGCTATGCCCAAGACCCATGTCGACCCTGGGATTGGAAAACCGGTATCTTAGCCATAAAACTAATCAACTCCACTCCAATTCCCTCTTATTATCTCCTAATATATGTTTTTTCAGTAATACAAATAAAATAACTGGCACCTGAAGGCAGTACCTCACACGTTTGTTTAGTAATGTTTCAAAACATAGGTGTTTATCGCAAAGCAAAATACATTTGGTTTGCTATAAAACTAAAAATAAATTTGGTTTTTTCTTCATTCAAAATTGATTTTTTTTTTCCTGTCAAAGATCCCATCCCTGCCTCGACTTGTTTGTACAGGCTGTAATGCTTGATGTCACCGAAACAAGCCGAAACATTAAAACTCACATGCAAGCAACCAGCCAATAAAAATTTAACAAACAACTATATCATGTAAATTTAACATTGTCTTTTTGAATCGGTTTCATTCCTTATTTTTAATTTTCTGTTTTGCTAACCTTTATTCGGGAATGTGCTAATTATTGTTACGGTTTAACTCTTATCATGCTTCATCAAGGAAGCGCTAAATATTCAATGGGAACAACCTTCATTTAACAAACAACTATATCTTGTAACTTTAACATCGTCTTTTTGAATCGGTTTCTTTCCTTATTTTTCATTTGCTATTTTGCTAATCTTTATTCATGAATGTTTTAATTGTTGTTACGTTTAACTCTTGTCATGCTTACTGTTAATTGTTATTCCTATGTATATATATATATATATATTTAAAAAAATGTCTATATATATATATATATATATATATATATATATACC